AAATTTAATTAACATTTTTTTTTCTTATCCCTTAATACATTCGCGCATTTTCTTTCTTTTTTCTTGTTAATTTTTAAATATATCTTTATAAAATAATTGTACGACTGTGTGGTGTGTCTGTTGAATCAATGATATCTCACATTTTGTCAATAATAACAAAATTTATTGATAAAATATTTTCCTTTTTATGGGTATTAAAGGGTCCCCGTTCCTTTTTACAATCGTTTAACACGTTTTATCATTTATCTGCATTACTATACTATTATTGTTAGTTATTGTGCCTGTTGAATCGATGATATCTCAATTTTTTTCAATAATAATAAAATTTATTAATAAAGTATTTTCCTTTTTATGGATATTAAAGGGTCCCCGTTCCTTTTACAATCGTTTAACACATTTTATCATTTATCTGCATTACTATACTATTTATTGTTAGTTAAAACATACTTTTGTAAACGATTACGATGTTTACAATTTGTACTTACTTGTTAACTTATTCTGTTAATTCAATTTTTAGAATACAATTAGAATGCAATTGTTTGTTACTTGATGTTATAATATAACTCAAGTGTAATACGATATACCTATAAAATAATATAGATAAATGTACTATACATAACATATTGAAGTGGTACTCTTCTCTTTCTCTCATCTGGTAATAATAGAAAGAAAGGACGAATAACAATGGCTATGTCAAAGGCAACAACATGTTAAACGTTTATACATCACACAATGAACTATATCGAGAAAACCTTTCTACATATAATGTGTCCTGGTTATAAAGTCAATAATACTTATTATTAACGACAGACAGACAGGAATCATGATAAAGAGAGTGAGAGAGAGAGAAAGAAATGAAGGACAACGTTTGATTGTACTAAGCCTGCAACGAATGACAATGTTCCTTTATTATCTCTCTCACACATATTCTATCTCTCATTTTCTCTGTCATTGTCTTTCGTATTTCGATCCATCTAACAATCAGTCTTGTCGATCTGAAACGTACCTCGACGTAGCCTCAGGTCAAACATGCAAAATCCATCGAAGCACGTGACTCGAGTACAACTAAGGTGTCTCGTCAAACCTAACTTGTCTTCTACTATGTATGTATGTATGTATGTATGTATATACGTATCCTTCTAATGCTTCTAACGAGGGTCAAACCCTTAGGTGGTAACGAGTACGACACTACCAGTAGCTCTACACTATTTTCTCACATGTTATTACCTTACGTGTGAGTGTGTGTGCGTGTGTATTTAATATTTTACATTTTAATCTTAAACCTCTTATTTTTTATATTATTCTATTTTATTTAATTTTACTTTTTGTTTTTTTATTTAAATGATATTATATGTGGTATTTTGTTTTATTATTTATTATTACACATATAATCGATTTCGTAAAAGTGTATTTCACAAAAATTATTTATATAAAGTTATTTTGTATTTATTATTTATAAATTGATATTATTATTCTATCATCGTATATATAATTTATACAAATAAATATATATCATTGAATATATATAAAATAAACATCATAAATCATATCATATCATATACCGCAAAAACCTCGATCACAGAAAGTATCAATACAAACTTATCATCATCATCATCATCAACAACAACATCTCATATTTATTTTATACCCATAATTATTATTAATCCAAATAATTAATTATCCTCTTCTCAATTAACTCTCATTCATCATGAATAAACGAATTCGTCATTAATCACATCCTAAAATTAATTAAACGTATACTATAAATGCATAAATGCACATAAATTATCATTCTCAACTTTCTTTTATTTTTATTTTTTAAACATTATAAATGATTTTCACGTTACATTAAACAACGCCATCATTTAGCTTAGAGTTTGACGATTAAAACGATACTCGTTTCAAGTTTCTACGACAATCCGTTCGGAAGATACGCGTTCTTAAAAATCGTTTAAATTTGATTTAACATTTTCTTCAGTTCATTGACCATTAATCAATGGGCTGATAGTAAATAGTATTTCCAAGAATTTATATGGGTCATTAGTTCATTCATATTTGTATTTACGTTTACACATTAACTGGACATACGTTTTTCGCGAATTAATATAAGTCATTCACAGATTCCAAGAAATAATATAGGTCAGGTATCAAGACAATATAAAGGGTGGTCATATAGAAAAGAACTCGCCTTATATATAGGGTGTTCAAATTGAATTTAATTCGAAAAAATTATTTCCCCTCACATTTAGAGATGATAAATCATTAATTCATGTACCGGGTGTCAAAATTGTAAAAGACTTCAGTACAAAAATTTTCGTATATCGTGCATTCGAGAGAAATGTATCGACATATATATACAGGATGATCGATAAAATAACGACTAATATACTGGGTGTCAATGAAAAAAGGAACTTTTTCAAAATAAAAATTAGTAATATTTTCATATCGTTTGGTTGCAAAAGTTTGATCATTGAAATAATTTTAAGGGGAATTAGGAAAATTTTCCAAATACATGTGTTCTTCGATTTAATAGATTTATCCAAGTGAAGATATGGGGCTTATAACGAATGCACATATATAATCATAGTTGGATACTTTTAGTAATTTCGTAGAAGGATGTAAAGGAAGTTAGATGTCTGTGGGGGAATAAAGGAAGAAGCCAAAAACACTTCTTGATTACACAAAGGCGAATTCGTATGTCGGGAATATCTTGATTGAGATCTTGAATAGTAGAATACTCGTCAAAGTTCACAGGATGTCGATAAAGGATGTAGTAGGTATATATCTTGGAAAGATCTTACCTTATCTTACTTTCTATGCGTTGATTTAATCGTTTTTAAGTATCCCGTAAAAACATCCTTTATTATTCTTGTCACCATTCCACTTCCAATTCCCATGGGTGTCAGAGAAACGATTGTTGGGATCGAGGTCGGATTGAATTAATGAACATGGGAGTAATAAAAGTGGGAATAGGAAACCCTACAAGAAGAATGTTTGCTATCTTTCAAAGTTTGCTTTTTATTCCTCCAAACGTTTCTCGATTACTTTTTTGTTCCTTCGTACAAGTATACGTACAAACAAAACTGTTAATAAACATAAAAATAAATATTATTAAAATATGAAATGTAACGACGATATAATATAAAGTTATCTCCAACGAGGGAGAAGATTTTGAAGAAAAACAAATAAAAAAAATCAGTTTCATTGGAGATTTCATAACAACTTCTTCAGAATGGACGAGTTTAAGCCGAGTCAATTCACAATGAGCTTAAAAGCTGATCTTCTTCCTTTTTTCGATCTCGTCTTCCATTGACTGAGTATTAACTCCCACCCCGTACTCTCTCTCTCTCTCTCTCTCTCTCTCTATCACACTGACTCACTTTTTTTCTCTCTCTTTCTAACTAACACATTTTCTCACTTATTTTTTCTCTTATACTCTCATTGGAGAGTAATCACTGATTTACTTTCTCACTCATTCACTCACTTACTCTCTTACCCCCCCTGACTGTTTATCTATCATTCCTTTTCTTTCAACCCCCTTCCCCTCTTTCTCACTCACTCTCTCTCTCTTTCTCTTTCTCCCGTATCTTTCTTCACCAGAAGCAAAACACTATTCCTTGGACCATCCAAGCAAGTCCGCCAGAGAATCTCTTTGTTGTCTCCCACAATTTGAATAAAGGATTGGAAGGAAGAAACGTGGGATCTCTCGAATGTTAATTATGCGAACCCTATCAGTTTTCTCTCTCACTCTCTCTCTTTCTCTCTCTCTCTCTCTCTTTCTTTCTTCCTTCGTAGTCTTTTGTATTTACGTTTTTATGTAATATTATACTGAAAGGGGGACTACTTTGCTCTCGGTAAAATATAGATACTTATTTACTTTATAGAAAGAGAGAGAGAGAGAGAGAGAGAGATAAGTTTCTTATTGCGTTATTCATACGGCCGGTTATCTCTTGGAAAGTTTATTAAAGTTTAATTTTATCGTGGCACCCTTTATAATTCAAGTCTTCTTCTTTCAACTCTTCGAGTAACGCCTACTGAAACAGAAAAAGAGAGAATGAGAAAGAGAGAATGATAAAGAGAAAGAGAGAGAGAGAGAGAGAGAGAGAGGATGTCTTCGTTTTAAAAATGAAAAGAACACTAGCCTCAGAGTTTACAGAACCTGAACAAGATTTCACTTCGTGAAAGTCAATTATACGGAAAATGCAGAACCAAGTACGTTTCCTGCTTTCCCTCTCTTTCTTTCTTTCTCTCTCTTTCTTTCTTACTCTCTTCCTTTCTCTCTTTCCCGGTGTATTTTTTGTCAAGCATTTTATACAGTCGTGAGTTAACAAAGTTTTCCTTAGAAGTACGAGCATCCAGTGGTTTGCTTTCTTACCCTGCGTGTACTTACCCACCTAACCGACATTACGCTTAAACGAAAGTCAACTTTTTCATTGGACGAAGACAACGAGTAATTTCAAGTTTCGCGCGGATTTAAAAGGGCTCCTAGATTACGGCCAAGGATTTGTTTGTCCCATTTTTTTTTTTTTTCTATGAAGTATGCACGTAATTTGAAAACCAAGAGAAAAAATAACTTTCTTTTCATCCTATCGTAACTCTTGTGTGTGTGTTTTTTTTCTCCTTTTTCTTTTCTTTTCTCTTAAAGAAGATTCCTATGAAGAAGAAATTAAATTACGGATCAGCAATAGCGAATTCGCGAATTTTTGACAAAATTTTAATATAAATGTCGTGGAAATTATTTTTTTATAATCGAGAGTTTTCCAAAGTTTAGGAAAATATATTATAAAAATTTGAAAATAAAAATCTACTATAGATTGGGGGTGGGGTGGGAGATAAAATATTATTTATTATTTGTAATAATATTTCTAGAAAAATTGTTAAAAATATTTATGGTAAATTTAGTTATTTTTTTTTATCAAACATTGTTTAAACTTAAAAATATTGATTTGATTATTTTGAGGTCGAACATGTACTTTATCTTTTTGATTATTATGTTTCAGAAGCAGTCGTGTCACCGGATTCTCCGAGTGTATGAAGTGCAAGAAATCTGGAGGATTTAAAGGATTCGAGAGAGTTGATTAGCTAATCTGTAGACAGCCATCATCGTGACAAGGGTGAGACACTTGCATATATATAAACCTAATCTTCAGAATATATTCTAAAACTCGTAAATAGGTATATTTAAAACACGTATTTCATTTATTAAATATTTATATATATATGGATAAAGATCAAGACTAATTCATATATATATAATAATATTTAACAATATAAATTCATTCAACAATTACCATTGAGAATCGTCATAATTTTATTATTAACAACATTTTATACGATAAAAAAAAAGAAAAGAAAAAGAGAATAAAATGTTTAGAACTATCGTGAACTAACCGCAGGCTTTCGAATTTTCTAGAACGAGTTTGTTGAACCTTCAGGCCTTTCTCTCAAAATTGAACACGATCTCTTTATTTCTAGGAAGAAAGAAAAAAAAATAGAAAAAGAATATATATATTGATATTCTTTTTCACGCTATATAATATGTATATATATAATATAAAAATATTATTCTGAAGGGGGAAAAAAAATACATCATATTATAACTTTTAGAGAGAGTTTAACGTTAAAATCATTATTATAATTAAGTTAAAATAAACGTTAATATAATGGATCTCATTTTCCCAGACCTAATATATATTACATATATATATATACATACATTATACATACATTATGTATTATAAATACATTATTTATATCTCTGTTCTCTGTGGAAGGGATAGAAAAAAAAAAATATATGAAAAAAAGAATATGTTTGGTTATAACAATCTATCTATCTATCTATCTATCTATCTATCTACCTATCGCAGAATGTGTCGCGTCTCGAATTGTAATATAGAGAAGCACGCGTGCTTAGAGGAAAAGCTCGGCGTGGAAAAGCTCCTTCGGAAGATGCTTGTAATACGATGGAGAAAGGAGGAACGTTCGCCTCGGGCTCTTTATCGGATTCCCATTGGCACCGAGTTTAAAGCGAGTTCACGAGCAGGGCTTGTTCCCGTTGAACCTTCACCCTCTCCCATACTCCCTTCCATCCTCCCCCCCCCACAACCCCGACTTCCTTCTCCCTCGTTCCCGCACTCTTCTCTTTCCTTCTTTCCTTTTTTACTTTTTCCTTCACAAATTCCAACCACCAGGATCGACAACGCAGATGCAACCCTCTTCCTACGATATATCCTTTTTCACTTCGACTTTTATGTACTCGTATATTGTACCTATTTACTCTATCTCCAATCTTTAACGATGACTAGTTTCCTTTTCTTTCTCTCTCTCTCTCTCTTTTTCTATTTCTTTTTCTTGTTTTTTTTTAGTTTTACAAGTTCCTTTCGAACGTTTAAACACGAATACCAAAATATCTATTTTATCAAATGTACGAAGTTTGAATGTTTTAAACTTGTGAATTACTTGAGTTAAACGATATTATATTGTTTAACCTATGGAATACTTTATTCAAATATTTTTCTTTTTTTTTTTTTTCAGATTATTTTTAACACAAATTTCAATTATTTTAATAATATTAATATTAAAAGTTTGGTGTATATATAGGAAAATGCAAAGAGAGAAAATTGTGTATTCCGTTGAATTAATGTAGTACTCAAATTGTTTTATTTAATAAGGTTTTGGTTTATTCCGAAATTTTGATTAAGTTGAAGATATTAAATATCAAATTTGTATATAAAAATAGTAAAAAAAGAGAAATTAATTAAGGTTATTTATTTTTTATGTACATATGTTTAGAGAAAAAATGTATTATATAATTAAATATCGATTACGCGAATATATGGAAAATAAATAGAAACGATTCTATTGTTCATTTTTTGTTTTCTCTTTTAAATTTTTACCGTAAAAATTTTCAACAATTATTTAATAATTCATCTTTCGCATTTTTTCTTTATTTTTATTTCTAACAAGAATTTTTCATTGTAATTTAAATTAAACCTAACATAATACCAAAACGAAAATGATTACAAACAATTCGTGTTTTCGAAAGTGAGAGAAAGAAAGAATGAAATAAAGAAATAGAAAATCTTTTCGAAAAGTATTGTGTACGTGACAATAACGATTATACCGCATCAAAGTAATTTACTGTGAATTTTCTTTGATGCGACTAGCAACAACAGCAGCACCACCTCTGGCAAAATGAAGTATAATGTGGGTTAGAAGCGTCTTGGTAAACTTAACAACGAAATTTACCAGTGAAATTGAAATTTCTAACTCTATCTTTATCTTACTTTCTTTCTTTATCTTTCTCGTTTACGCAAAATGGATTCACGTTAAGGATGTTCGTACCTCTCGATTGTATTCCTTTCAGTTTCAACGTCTTCGAATTTCGTTTCAGTGTTTCTGATGTCTCGAAATTGGCGAATCTATCTAAGCAATCTCAGTTGAACTTCTCTATCTATTTCTCTCTCTCTCTCTATTTCTCTATCTCTCTATCAGTCTATCTCTATACCTTATTTTCTATCTCTGTTTATCTCTGTATCTCTATATCTATCTCACTTACAATTGTACAGCGAGAGGAGAAACGCGTAACAAGAGTAGTATTTGCATACTATCGCACACGCAAAGCACACGTTAGTCACCGTTGTAGCACGTTGACAGATACGTTACGCGATACAAGGAGAAATCATGCAGACTGTTGGAGACACAAGAGAACATGTTACATAGACATCTACATACGTATGTGTACGTATATACGTTAACTTGTCTTCTTGTCTTCTAAATGCTTCGTGAATTATTTAATATATCTATATCTATATATATATATATATCGAAGATATATTATTATCTTAATCATTTTGTCAACAACTACTGTTCTACGTTATTTAATGATTTTCT